CAGCCGCCGCAGGACCTCCGCGACGGACAGCGCGCGGGAGTCGCCGTCGGCGGTGACGATGGCCGGGGCCTCGGTGCCGAGGAACTTGCGGAACTCGGCGAGCCAGACGGGCACGACGGTGGCCGGCGCGACGACCAGGACCCGCGTCGCCGCGGCGCCGCCGCCGCCGAGCACCGCGGCGATGACCGCGATGGCCTGCGCCGTCTTGCCCATGCCCGGCGCGTCGCCGAGGATCGCCGCGGGCCGCGCGAGCACGAACGCGACGCCCTCGCGCTGGTGCGGCTTCAGCGCGTCCGCGAGGCCTCGCGGCACGTCGCGGAGCGCGAGCGGCGGCGGCGGCCCCGCGCGGACCGGCGGATCGCCGCGCGCCGGCTCGGCGGGGGCCGCGGGGACGAGTCCGCGACGAGGGTCTGGGGCGTCAAAACGAGGCGAAAATCCGGCTCCTGCCGCGCGCGCGGGTCCGGGAGCGGAGGCAGAAGCGTTTCCGCGGCGACGGTCGCGGCTCCCTCGCCGTCACCGGGGCGCGCCGACGCGCCTGGAGCGGGCTCGGGGCCGCCCACGACATGGTCGCCGCGGGCCCGCCCCTCGCCTCCAGCGTCGGCGGCCGGAACACTGCCTACGAAGCGCACGAGGTGGGGTCCGCGCCGCGCGTCGTCGCGCGCCCCGAACGTCGCCCATGGGCCGCGAGAATTTTGCGCACCTGGTGCGCCCGACTGCGTATCACGTGGCGAAGCCATGGCGCACGGCGCGGGGTCCCAGGAGGCGATTTCCAACGAGGCGCTCCGGGAGCAGCTCCTCGCATGCCTCTCTGTGCCCCGCCGCCCGGGGGGAAGTTATGACCTCAGGCGGGGGTAAGGGAGCGGCATGGTCTACTCATGCCAGTATTGGTTCCAGCATGCCATTCCGGATAATATATATTAGGTATTGGTTCCATCTTGCTTATAGGCATATTGGTTCCAGCATGCGTATGGAGATATTGATTCCATCATGCATATCCGCGGGTATTGGTTCCAGCATGCCATTCCGGATAATATATATTAGGTATTGGTTCCATCTTGCTTATAGGCATATTGGTTCCAGCATGCGTATGGAGATATTGATTCCATCATGCATATCCGCGGGTATTGGTTCCAGCATGCCATTCCGGATACTAATATATTAGGTATTGGTTCCATCTTGCTTATAGGCATATTGGTTCCATCATGCGTATGGAGATCTTGATTCCATCATGCATATCCGCGGGTATTGGTTCCAGCATGCCATTCCGGATAATAATATATTAGGTATTGGTTCCATCTTGCTTATAGGCATATG